GGAATCGAGAAAGTAACTTCTGTTAGATTATATTAGAATATCTACGTTTTACATTGAACCCACCAACTGTATAAATTTGAAGATCGCAGAATGAAACCAAAACAAAAAAATTAATCAAACAGCAACAGCCAAAAATTTTAGTCAAAGAAATGAATATATATTCAAGGTCATATTGCTTCCTTCCATAGCTATCTCTTGCCATTAGCGTCTCACTCTCTCACCATCTTTCTCTCTAATTTCTAATTTTTTTTTCTTGTTCATATAAATTAGGTCTATCTTATCAATTATCATTAAGTGATTTAGGGATGACTAATTGACTATAACACATTAGATTCAGATTAATTTTGTTTTCTAAGTGTATGAGTGTATTATGTATATGTGTTTAGCTAACTGTATTATATAGGTGTTCATTTCAATTAACTCAATTATTCCATGATATAAATAATTTGCTTTAAAATACTTGCTCATCACTAGAATTTACATTGCTGATTTTTTTATTTGTTCTCTTTATTGCTTCAAGAAAAATTATGATGAAAACAATAACTCTTGTAAAGACATTTTGAACTTTCAAAGTTGTGGTCCAAAGCTATTTAATGATGATTAAAATCTCATCTAACTGTTTTATAATATAATGATATGTAAAATAAAAGAAAATTAAATTATTGATGAAGAATGAATAAATGTTAGTTTAAATTTAAGTTTAATTAAATTATTCTTCTAATTCGAATTCTAATTTGGTAATCCATTTTATGTTACAATGAAGAGATTTTATCCTCCGGTATCTTCCAAGTTGCCACAATCAAGTTCATCCTCTCTAATTGTTACTCCCGTGGAAGAAAATTTGAACCAATTAGTAGAACAACCTCAATCCTCTAAAAAATAAAGACAAGGAATAGATCTCGATTCTTTAAAGACTGATCCAAAGGAGAGATTACCCATTAGAGACTTTCATCTAAATGAGCGTGATGAGATTAGAAGAGAATACCTCCGAAGAGGTCCTTGCCAACCCCAATATCATAAGTTTCCTCAAAGAAATTTTTCGGGCTTAAAGTGTCGTTTCAATCCTAAATGGTTTAAAGGATATCATAATTGGTTGGAGTATAGTGTGATTGAAGATGCAGCTCGAATACAAAATTCGCTTGAAGGCTTCAATTGAGGTGGTGAGACTCCTATTGAATCAAGGATTGGCATTCCGTGGACATCGTGAAGATGAATCATCATTAAACAAGGGTAACTTTCTTGAAATTCTTTCATGGTATGCAGAGAGGTGCGATAAAATTTGTGATCTTGTGTAGAAAAAGGCTCCAAAGAATGATCAGTTGACTTCTCATAAAATTCAGAAAGACATTATCATTGCATGTAAAATTGAAACAGTTAAAGCAATTATGGACGATCTAAATGGAGACTTTTTTGCATTGCTAGTTGATGAATCATGTGATGTATCACGCAAAGAGCAATTAGCTATTGTCATGCGATATGTTAATAGATGTGGATCTGTGGTGGAGCATTTTATTAGGATCGTTCATGTTCGTAATACTACTGCTTTGTGTTTAAAGAAAGCAATTGTTGATTACATTGCTCAACATTCTTTGAGTTTATCTTATGTGCGTGGACAGTGCTATGATGGAGCAAGCAACATGCAAGGGGATTTACGTGGCCTCAAAACTTTGATTCAACAAGAAAGTAAATCTGCTTATTCCATTCATTATTTTGCACACCAACTTCAATTGACTCTTGTTGCGGTATCCAAAAAGTTTCTTGAAGTGGGAGAACTTGTATTGTTGGTTTCTAATGTATTGAATATAGTGGAAGGTTCTTTTAAACGTATGAATGATCTTCGAGAATCTCAAGCAGAAAAAAGTTCAAGAGGCATTAGACATGGGTAAACTTGAAACTGGTAGGGGTTTGAATCAAGAACTTGGTCTTGTTAGAGCTGCAGATACTCGTTGGGGTTCGCACTACAAATCTTTTAAGAACTTTATTTCTATGTT